GGGAGGGCGGAGAGGCGGCCCCACGGGAACGGCGCGCGCGGACTGGCCTCTTCGCGGCTGGCGTGTGGGGCCGAGGTCTCGGGGCCCAGAGTGGCGCTCCCGCGTTTGCAGGTCGGAGGCAGATCTCTTGAGATCGGAGGTCGCTGGGGAGTCACTTGACCTGAGAGAAAAGCGTCTTTATTGCTGGAGGAGATCTCCTAGGGCGATGTCTGCCTGGTGTGCCCTCGCCTGCACTTCGGCCATGCCAGTCTTTGATTCAGTCTCCTGTTCCTGTGGGAGGCAGGGACCGTGTAAGAGGAATACACCACTCTTGGCTTGGACGCCTTTGACCTTTAACTGTCCCTGCTTTAGCTCGTTTTGGTCCTAATGAGAATGCTAACCAGTTTATCAGCTTTTAAATTAGGTTGTGAGTTTGTCTTCATGGCATTTCAGTATAGTTTTTGAAAGCTGTTAATTGTACCTTTTTGGTCTTCAAGATCGATAGTTTAAAAAGTGTGGTCTGCTCGTTAATTTGCTGTTTACATAGTCCGTGGAAGTCAAGCGGGAGAAGGAATTTGTGATTATTTGTAGACAGTGTTTGAAACTGTGTTTTCGGTGGATAGCTGATTAATACTTGTTAATAACTGCTGAATGTTTGCTACGAGCCAAGGAAGTGTGCCAAGCACTTTGCCTGTATCTTAACTCATCTAACTCTCACAACCTCAGTTAATAACTCAAGGTTGTGAAGAGAGGCTCCCTCTGGTCTGTCTCCATTTGTCTATGTTGACTTCCCTTAATATTATTCTTGCAAAATAAATACGAATAATGAGATGTAACTTTTTTTTTTAACTTGAGGACCAACATGAAACAGATATTTTACATAACATGGTTACTTCTACAGAGCCTCTCCTCTTCAGTGTGGTTTAGTTTGGAGTAGCTTCAGAACAACTATGCAACACATTGTTGCGTTGTGGTAGAGTTCCTGAGGTAATTTCATTCCAAGCCTTAATAAATGTGTTTATTTGTATTGAACTAGCATAAGATTGTACTCAAAGCTGAGGCTTTTGTTTCAACACTTTTAAGGCATTTTAGCTACTTAAAAGGAAATTTAGTTTTATTATTGTTGGCATTTCTTTCTAAACCTGGAACTTAAGAACCAGAATGCATATTTTGGATTTACTTTACTGAATGTAAAGTCTTCTCTAATTTCCTCCACCATTTATTTGTAGCTGCACTGGTCTCTAAATTCTGTAGGTTAGAGTGCAGGAAGTCATCCTTGTAAAATGTATACTAAAATATAGGACATCTCTTGACTCAGTCCTTAAGAAGTGAATTTAAACAATGCTGTGCTAAATTGAAACTCTTTAAATCAGAAGTTGAATGTAGAGCCCCACTATCAGAGTATTCTGTAGATTTTACACTTAAAAGCTTTTGTTGGCATGTGGATGAATGCTACAGTGTCAGTGGTGTTAAGGTTTTTTTGTATTATGTTGCAGTAGTAATAGTGTCCTAGAAGTACCTACATGATGGCTTTTTTCAGGGGTGGGGGATGAAGACATAAATTATGAAATGATATGTAGTGCCTCTGGATTTTTGCCTTTGAAGCTTTTGTTTGTGGGACCAAAGGATTTCAAAACAAAAACAAAAACAAAAACAAAAAACTAGTGAGAAATGCAGCCAACTAGAAAGAGACATGCTGGGAACCACTGACTTTAACTTCCAGAGGGAAAGTTTTTAATATATTTCAAAAGTCTCCTTTCCTTACTGTCAGCCATCAGTGGGAAAGGAAAGAGCAAGTTTTGTAACCAAGACAGGTTTTGTAACCAGTGAAATACTCCCTTTAGTGCCTCACTGAATAGCATTGTAACTGTGCTGTTGAGGGGAAGTGGAAAATTAAAAATACTTTGTTCAAATAAATTGAAGCATAAGTAAATATTATTTTAGCCTTGCCTTTTTCATTAAAAAAAATAAAGCTTTATTATGTAATTACTGGGTTATATTTGCCATCTCTCTGTGGCTTCTTATGTTTCCATGGCATTTTATACTTCCATTTATTTTAACCAAAATGTGAACAGTTATTTAGTTTATATTGGGGATTAGATTCCCCCTGAAAGACATTCCATGTTTCTTCAAGAAAAGAGGTGTTTTCCCCCCCTCCTGCCACACTGCTGGAAATGCAAATAATACGTGACAAACATTTGTTTATATGTTGATTTTTCATTTCAAAGAAATCGCAGAAGTATTTGGGAAATGGTAAAAGAGATCTGATTTTAAACCACTTTCAGAGTAGCTTTTAGACTTGGCTGTTTCTGATGAACAAAATTAAGTTCTTGGAGAGAATTCAAACTTTTAAAGAAATGGAAAAGACTATAGGTTGAAAGAACTTTGATTTACTTTGAAGATGTTAACAAAGTTAACATTGCTCTGTCTACTCATTTGTTAACCATGTACATTTGCTGAATTCTGCATTTTACAAGTATTATGTACTTTCTAGTTGCCAGATACTATTCTAGATAGTAGGGCTGTAACTATGAATAAAACAGATAAAATATTTATTCTAGTGTCACTTGTAAATAAGTGAAAAATATAGACTATTAGATTGTTATAGCTGTTATAAAGAAAAATAAAACAGATAGGAACCAAGAAAGAGGGCATGTTCTTTGATTTTAGCTAGAGTGTTCAGGAAGGGGACATTCAGAAAGATTTAAGCAGGAAAAAACTTCAGGGGATTGAGCATCCCAGGCAGAAGGAACAGTAACTACAAATGCCCTAAAGCACCAGCATGTCTGGCATTTTTCTGGGACAGCCGAGTGTCTGGTGTGGCTGGGGCCAAGGGAAGGAGGGGGTGAGTCGTAGGCAAGGAAGTCAGATCTGGTAGGGCCTGCTAGGCATGGGGTGAGAATTCTTGAGGTGAGGGAGGTGCTCACACTTTTTGGGTAGAGTCACTCAAATCCAGTAACAGTTTTCTCACTGACATTAATTTTTTAAAAAAAATTGAAGTATAGTTGATTTATAATGTGCTAGTTTCAAGTGTACAGCAAAGTGATTCAGTTATACATATATGTGTATGTATATATATTTTATATATATTCTTTTTCAGGTTCTTTTCCATTATAGGTTATTATAAGGTATCTCACTGACATTTTAATATTTAATAAAGTAGGAAAATAAGCTATAGGTATATACATTTTTTTCTCCATGAGACTCAAAGCTGTTTTCATTTTGAATGGAAAAAAATACAGCCTAGGAACAAATTTGTTCTCATTTTTAATGTACTGAATTCTGTTCTAAGTTTCCAAGAGGATGATTTCATTTATTCTTTCAAGGAAATTAGATCCAAGTTTAGGAGAAATTAGAATTTACACATGTTCTCAGATGTATTCCCTTCATGTCATTCAGCGAGGGAGCCAGGCAGTGAGTGTTCTGGGATGCAGGGCGGGAAGCCCGTGATGGATTGGAGTGCTCAGAGACCCTTCAGGGACGAATCTGAGTGTTTTGCTGTATTTTTTCCCAGATGGGAAGAAGGTATGGACTGGGGTGCAGAGGTGTCCTGGATGGCGGGTCTGCCAGGCTGACTGGCTGGAGCAGGGATTCTTTAAGGCTGAATAGGTGGGAAGTCAAGTTCAGAAAGCAGGTTGGGGCTGTTTATTAATTGAACAGACACTTCTGTGTGTGTACCTTGTGCCAGATGCTGCCCTAGGTGTCTATGATATATTAGTAAGCATATGAGGCAGAGATCCCTGTACTCGGGGAACTTTTATAACAAGTGGAATATATGGTATGTTAGGTGGTAAGCATTATGGAAAACAGGAAAGTAGGTCGCTGGATAAGAAATGTGCATATGGGATGGAGCTGCTGTTTTTAAAGAGGCTATCAGGAGAGGCTTTGTTGAGAAGGCGTATTTGAGTGAAAATGTAAGGGAGATGAGGGAGTTAGCAGGGTAGAAATCTAAGGGAAGAGCATAGCTGGCAGAGGGTATAGCCATTGGAAAGTCCCTGAGTCCAGAGCTGACCTGGCATGGATGAAGGCCATCACTGAGGCAGGTAAGGGGGGAGCAGAATGAGCATGGGGGAGAGTAACAGGTAGCGAGGTCATTGGAGGTCCTGGAGGTCATTGTAAGGACTTTGGTTTTTAATCTTGGAGAAAAAAGGTGCTCTTGGAAAGTTTCATAGGGGAATGATCCAATCTGACTTTTTAAGTTTGAAAAGGTTTACTTTGGTTGCAGCATTTGGAATTGATTAAGGATGGTCAGAGGAGGCAAGGATAGAAGCAAAGGTAGGTGTTTTCGATTGAGAAAGGCTTTGAATGATAATGAAACAGTGAGCATTAAAAATTTTAAGCTGTATACTATTTTCAGTAGCAACTATTTATTTTCTTAGATTTTTGCTGTGTCCTCAAATGCTTACAGCTAGAATTAAGAAGGATTTTTCTTCGCATCTCAGTATACCAGAGTAATTAAAGTATTTGAGAGTTAAGAAAATACGAATTTTTGAATTGTAAATGAAAAATAGATTGTACATCCTCATGGTTCAAAACTCAAAAGATACAAAAAGGTAGTTGGTGAAAAGTTCCTTCTACCCCTGACCTGGCCACCCTGGGGCAACCAGTGTCAGAAGTTTCCTGTGCATCTTCCTGAGATATTCTGTGAACACCTG